CGCTAACCCAGAAATCTTGCTTCAGGTTAAGAACTTTGCTTCAGGATGAGAACAGAAACCGTGCTCCGGCGGCATGGCAGCAGCAGGAGGCCCCATTAGCTAAAGTTTCAGGTTAAGAACGGACCTCCGGAACGAATTTAAGTACTTAACCTGAGGTACCACTGTATTTAAGGGACAAAGAGCAGTTTATTCATCAGTAATTGTGTTTGATTACTGCAATTTTGAATATTCGTAAGAACGTTTGTGAAATAAATCCATTTCGGGGGGGGGGGGATGGACATTGCATGAAACAATCCACTTCAATAGATTTTAATCCATTTGACTTAAAAAGCAGATTAGCGGTAGCATCACTAGATGGCAGTGGATTACTAAGGTGCCTTAGTTTGCACACTGATTTTCACACATTTCTTGCTCTTAGATGGCTGGTTCCTCTGAGGCAGTTTATACAATGTGGAACCAATTCTGGCTCCCAACCACATCTCCCTTGTGTGTTCCTGAATGTTTGGGGATGAATATCTCCCCATCACCATTTGTTTGCTGCAACATATGCCCTTACAAGGCTGCAGAACCCACACAAAATAATCTTCATTAAAATCTTTAATAAACTAGGCTTTCCGGTTCGAACAAAAAACAGACGTCCTTCAAGACCGTCAATGTATTTTGTTGCATGGCACTTTATATAGCTGTCAGAACAGCTTCACATAGATGAACTGGTCCATTTACAAATGAAGCCCACACTGCAACCTATTCTACAAACTACAATAAAATGCTTTCTTCTAACCTAATTTTGGCAGAGGGAGCGGATCCTGGCAGGGAGGAGAAGACCTCTATGAGCAAACACATACATGTGGGCATTTTGGGGCTTTAATGACTTTGCTGTGGTCCTAATCTGGATCACACACCCCGTGCTAGCAATTTGTACAGGAAAAAGCTCCCATTGAATGGGAGATGATTTTTACATGCAGGTTGCCAGCACAGGGGCTACCCAATCTGGATTGGGACCCTCACATGGGATAAAGGGTTAAGGTTTTCTGCCCTCATGCTTGAGCACTGATTTACACCCTTTGGGAAATACTGCTCTATATAGTCTCTGGATGTGCAAAGATTCAGTGAGTATTTGATATTGAGCATCAGTATTTGCTATCTGTAAAGAATGCAGAAGCAGTCAATGTCTGACAGCTAGTTTGCAGTGCACTCACATTTTTCACATGTAGTTGGCATGTCAGTACATGACAGCTGACATGAGTCAATTTTTGGCAGTATTTCCCTCTGTCTGCCTTAATCAGATAATCTGCATGATGTACTCATACTGTGCTTGATACTGACATATCTTGGGGGAATGAATACTAGTAAGACAGGGATGCGGGTGGTGCTGTGGTCTAAACCACTGAGCCTCTTGGGCTTGCTAATCGGAAGGACGGCGGTTCGAATCCCCATGACGGGATGAGCTCCTGTTGCTCTGTCCCAGCTCCTGCCAACCTAGCAGTTCAGAAGCATGCCAGTGCAAGTAGATAAATAGGTACGGCTGCGACGGGAAGGTAAACGGCGTTTCCATGCGCTCTAGTTTCTGTCACGGAGTTCCATTGTGCCAGTAGCAGTTTAGTTCTGCTGGCCACATGACTCAGAAAGCTGCCTGCGGACAAACGCCGGCTCCCTTGGCCTGAAAGCGAAATGAGCACCCCAACCCCATAGTTGCCTTTGACTGGGCTTAACCATTCAGGGGTCCTTTGCCCCCCCCTTTTTTTACTAGTAAGGCCTTCAAGGTATCTGAACACTTTTTAGTCATTTTGCACACCTTAGCTAAAAAAAGCAAGTTTCAAATGTCAAGACAATTTAGAAGAACAGATAACAATCATCTTAGTCTGTGGGTTTTTTGTGGCTTTTACATTTAAAAAACCAGCCGTGTCAAAGGAAACAGATCAAATGTGATATGTTTCACTGCAGAAAAGTAGGTCAGCACTATGGTTTATCTTAGGCCTAATCCTGCTTGAGATAGCAAACCTTTGTCTGGGCTGTATAACTTTAGAGTTCAAATAGCCTGGAATAACTGAATGCTGCTCCATACAAAAATAAGTTTTATGTATTTCTTTATCATGTCTTTAATACACAGGCAACTCCCAATTTATGTGGGGGTTATGTTCCGAGGTACTGCATGTGTGAGGGAAATCACATATATTTGAAAAACCATTGGAAAAGCCTGCAAACACCCTATAAATATCTGGAAACCCATGAAAACACCTTAAAAAAACAGCAGCAGTTACCAGATGCCAAACTCCACATACCCTCCCACATTTCTCCGATAAATAGGGAAGTCCTATCCCATAATAATCATCATCATAATTCTATTATTAATATCCTGCCCAACTGACTGGATTGCCCCAGTCACTCTGGGTGGCTTCCAACATATTTAAAAACATTAAAAAAATTATAAAAAAAACTTCCCTATTCAGGGCTGCTTTCAGATGCCTTCTAAAGGTTGTATAGTTACTTATCTCCTTGGCTCTGGAGTCGCATAACTCCATACCCTCCAACATGAAAATAGGGACCCCGTAAGTAAAAGTGGGCCATTCCGGAATCAAATCAGAAACCAGAACGGCTTCTGTAAATCCAGAACTGTCCCTGGAAAATAGGCGCACTTGGGGGGGGGTCTTCTCCACCCTCTAAACCTCCTTGCTCAAACGTCAACTCCATAGGCCTCAATGGTCAGTGTAAGGGCTGGGATTGCACTTGCAAAGGTTCATGGGATTGTTAAGTGTTGTTTTCCCACTTTTTTTTTTGCCCTTTCTGGGCTCTACTAGGGCCATTTTTGCAATTTTTAAATTCACTCTCAGGTTCGGTGCAACCCGGCATCAATTGGACGTGGATAAATGGGGAGTTGTGGGACGATGGTGACACTGTGGGTTAAACCACAGAGCCTAGGTCTTGCCGATCAGAAGGTCGGCAGTTCGAATCCCCACGACGGGGTGAGCTCCCGTTGCTCGGTCTCTGCTCCTGCCAACCTAGAAGTTTGAAAGCACGTCAAAGTGCAAGTAGATAAATAGGTACCGCTCCGGTGGGAAGGTAAACGGTGTTTCCGTGCGTTGCTCTGGTTCGCCATAAGCAGCTGAGTCATGCTGGCCACATGCTTTTTGACGTGCTTTTGAACTGCTAGGTTGGCAGGAGCTGGGACCGAGCAATGGGAACTCACCCCGTCGCGGGAATTCGAACCACCGACCTTCTGATCGGCAAGTCCTAGGCTCTGTGGTTATCCCACAGCGCCACCTGTGTCCCTTTATTCATTCAGCCGTACCTTTAGTCATTCATTCATTTATATGAGAATACCTTGGCAGTGTACATTAAAATATGATGAACTGCAAAAAAAATAAATAAATCAAAATTCAAATAAACTAATCCGTAGCTAGGCTCACACTTCAGGAAAAGCCAGTGTGAGGAAGTTCTAAGCAAGCGTTGAAAACCTGACGCAGTTGACACTTTCAGGATGGCGAAATATTGCGCTGCTTCATGTAAAACTTGCCGCGGGCTAATTTGAGCAAACCCATAATTTTATCTTCTACGTCTGGCATTCTACAGCACTAGTAATTTTATTGTTACGGTTCTCTATTTTGTTTGGTATTATTTTGCATTATTTTTTATCTATTTGCAAAGAGTTTCTTTCTGAATACAGCTCACTGACTGCAATAAAGAGACTGCGTGAGGCAGCCACCTTAGGCAGGTGATTTTGTGTCTCATGAAAGGGGAGCAGATGCTCAGTTATTTATTATTTTATTTTTACTGCCAGGCAGGCAGTGTGATTTTTATTTCTATTTTGCCTCAGGTGCCAAAGTAACATCAACTGACCATGCACTGGTCAGCCCTGGTTGCACATATTTTGGGATATAGATCTACATATTGGCTTTATTTTCACCCCTAGCCTGGCAGCATAGGCAATTCTCTCTCTTCTACACTGCTTTGTGGTTTTGTCTGATGTATAAAACGAAGAAACCACTGAAAGGAAACTCCAGAGGCAGCAGCTCTAATAAACACGCATAACCACCACTACCTTGAGCTGACATCTGAATCTGAGTCTCATCTCTTGCACTGACTGCTGCAAGGTATGTAGTTATCTGCTCTTGCCTCAGGCGGAAAGCTATCCCATCTTTGTAAACATTAGGTTGTGGCGGGGCCCAGTTGGTTCCTCTAATAAACCCCTTGAAAGCTAACTTAAGTAGCTTTGAAGTTACAAATAGGTTAATTTTCTTTACCAAGAGGTTTTGCTGTAAAAAAAATATGTTTATCTTATTTACTTAAACAGAGTCTGGTTAAGACAATAGGCCACTTGCACTATCTTCTGGGGGCATATATTATTAGCCGAGTTTTCCCATCTACCAGAGATTTGCTGTTGTTTAGTCATTTAGTCGTGTCTGACTCTTCGTGACCCCATGGACCAGAGCATGACAGGCACTCCTGTCTTCCACTGCCTCCCACAGTTTGGTCAAACTCATGCTGGTAGCTTCGAGAACACTGTCCAACCATCTCGTCCTCTGTCATCCCCTTCTCCTTGTGCCCTCCATCTTTCCCAACATCAGGGTCTTTTCCAGGGAGTCTTCTCTTCTCATGAGGTGGCCAAAGTATTGGAGTCTCAGCTTCAGGATCTGTCCTTCCAGGGAGCACTCAGGGCTGATTTCCTTAAGAATGGATCGGTTTGATCTTCTTGCAGTCCATGGGACTCTCAACCAGAGATAGGCACAAACAAATCCAGATATTGTTGGCACATTCACTGTCATTGTTTTCAGCCTGCAAACGATATGTAACTGATTACATTTCTACCTCCTTTGCATCAGGAGGGGAGAGTGGCTCTTTTGCTTGAATCCTGCTTGCAGGTTTTCCACAGGCATGTAGTTGGCCACTGTGAGAACAGGATGCTGGATATGGAATAGATGGGCTACTGGCCTGATCCAGGAGGCTCTTCTTATGTTTCCTTTGCATTGAAATGAATGGGGTGGAATCATGTAATGGCTTTGTGGAAATTATATAAGTTAGGTCCTTTTGCCACAATGAACAGCGAGACAAATAATGTTGTTTTTGGCAAAAGATGAACTGCAGCAAAATGGAAACAGTGTTGCATGCAGCAAATACAGAGTGGAATGGAAAATGATGCGTTCTTACATCCATTCTCTGGAGAGCTACTTTTTGGACAGTAGATAGTCTGACCTGGTATAGGCAGCTTCCTATTAGCCATGTGACACAATAGGGAAGAACCACGACTGCACAAAACAACACAAAATTGCCACTGTTTCCCCAAAACCCCCACAAAATTCTTTCCGTGGGATTGTTTGGCTCTGCTCCATTAGATTGCTAGTTTTACTCTTTTAATATGAACATTCTTTCTGTTGATGAGTCATATTCTAGCTCAATTTGGGAAATGCTGTTTCTTTCAGGGTCCAGGTCAACTTTGTTATCGTGAAAACACAGCTTGTGACGTACAGCCAGATTGTGAAGTACGGCTCTTTAACTCCTTTCACTCAATACTGACATGGGATTGATGGCTGCAGCTGCTTTTTCATGAGTATACTTTCTGGTATTATTTAGTCACAGATAACTCTGTGGTTTTGCTATTACTAGCGTTTGAAAAGCAGTTTGAAAAGCACTGTGCTATGAAAGAAATGAAACTCTAAAGCCTAGTCTTGCAGTGAGATCCTATCTCCGGTAATTTATTGCCTGTCATCTATACCATCAACTTCAAGAAAGTGACACGCAAGTAAAGAGAAGCTAACATTAAAATGTATTTGTTTATCATTTACTCGCTGGTATCCCAAATGCCTCACCAACAAATACAAATTAGAACAATTATCTGGGGCGCTGTGTCACGGACCGGTTGGATGCAAAGGAATGGTGGGAGGAACCAGTTGCGGAACCCCCCAAGGGAAGAAGACTCAGAGCCTGGGGATTGGTGGTGGGGCGACAATGAGTGGTCAGAGGGAGAAGACTGGGAGGAGGTGGTGTCAGAAGCTGGAGAGGTATAACAGGGCTTAGTGAGCGGGGAGAGTCTGTGGCAGAGAGAAGTCCAGAATCAGAGGCAGAAGCTGAAGCAGAGAAGGAGGGAGGCCAAGAGGCAGAGATGAGTTGAGCTGCTGAAGAGCCCTTCTTGCTGCGATAAGCTGTCCTCCCTATTGGACTCCCAGAACCAGATGAGGCAAGAAAAGGGCAGAGAAGTTGGCACAGGCTCTGATTGCTTGGGGGGGAAACCCTGAAGAGGAGGGAACTTAAGACAGCTGTGAGGAGGTAGGGACTTTCCATCTGGGCAACAGATCCATGGGGCAAGACCTTCCAGGGATGAGCTGCTGTTCTCATCAGGCCTGAGACTCCGCCAAGTTTGTTCACATCATGTCCTTGCTAATAAGGAGTTAGCTCCAACTTGCATAGTGTGATTTACTGCCAGCTCGTTCCTGACACCCTACCAGTTAAATCAGGAATGTGGAACTTGTGGCCCTCCAGGTGTTGATGGACTTCAACTCTCATCAGCCCCAACCAGTGGTCAAGGGATAATGGGAGTTGCAGTCCAGCCATGTCTGGAAGACCATAGAATGCCTGTTCCTCAATTAAATAGTTCCATTCAAATGGTGGGGATGGCCAGTTTACTTATTGACTTGCCACTCCTGCTTGGCAGGAGGGGATTCTGGCAACCCAGTTCCAAACCCCCTTGTGATACTGAGCCTGTGTGGCATCATATGGAAAACAGTAGCTAGAGTAAGATGTTGGGGAGTCAAAGAAAGAGCAGCTAAAAGTGCAGGGACAATTGTGATAAAAATGAAAGGGAAGAGGCAAAGACTCCATGCAACTTAAGTGGCCTACAGCTTGACTCAATTAATTTTTATTTACTTATTCCATTTAAGGGACGCGGGTGGCGCTGTGGGTTAAAGCCTCAGCACCTAGGACTTGCCGATCGAAAGGTCGGCGGTTCGAATCCCTGCGGCGGGGTGCGCTCCCGTCGTTCGGTCCCAGCGCCTGCCAACCTAGCAGTTCGAAAGCACCCCCGGGTGCAAGTAGATAAATAGGGACCGCTTACTAGCGGGAAGGTAAACGGCGTTCCGTGTGCTGCGCTGGCTCGCCAGATGCAGCTTGTCACGCTGGCCACGTGACCTGGAAGTGTCTGCAGACAGCGCTGGCTCCCGGCCTATAGAGTGAGATGAGCGCACAACCCTAGAGTCTGTCAAGACTGGCCCGTACGGGCAGGGGTACCTTTACCTTTACCTATTCCATTTAGAGCCTGCCTCTCCTCCAAGGAACTCAAGGTGGCATATGTTGTTTCCCCCCTCTGAATTTTATCTTCACAACCCTGTGAATTAGGTAAGGCTGAAAGATACTGAGTGGTCCAAGAACACCAGTGAGCTTTGGGGCTGAGTGGGGATTTGAAGCCAAGTAATGTACCTTGATCCAGTCCAATACTTGATCCCCAGTAGATTAAGCATGCTGCCCCAAGAATTTTATTATCAGTGCAGTGTATGTTCTGCAATTTTGCACCGGGGCTGTGCAAGATCATAATATGGAATCATGTGCAGAATTCAGCATCCTAAGAACCTCTGCATGTTTTTTGTTTTTTAAATGAGGTTTCTAGCCTTTATGACTTCAAAGAGATTTTTAAAGGATACTGGCTATGACTGACAAAATCTAAACAACAGGGAAAGGGGATGCATGGGTGGGAGTTCCAGCCCACAAAAAGAAGAATTTCTGTTCCCTTACATATCAGTGATTTCTCCCTGAGGCTGCTGGAAGTACAGTACATTTTGAAAAATAAGCAGTATGTACAAATGTGCATACTTTATACAGTCTTGCTTGGATGTGGGTTTCATTGGTGTATAATTATGCCTGGGTCTTAAAATTTTTTTAGTGCAGAATGATGTTCATTAATGTTCATTAATCCCTGCCCACCTGTCAAAATCCTTTGTGCAACTTTGCAAGTTTGCTTCCTGCTCTCTCTGTAAACTCCTAATCTCAGAGGTTTAAAAGGGGAGTGTGGGGAGGCTGGCAAAGGCTTTAAGATAGTCCCTGAGCTCCTGTTTCAGACCGAAATGGCAGTGTGGGGACTGCCTTAAAGCCATTTGCAAAAGTGCTCTTTGAAACAGACCCTTTCACCTTTAAATGAGAAGAGTGGCTGCTGCCTCAAACAGTGCATTTGCAAAACACTTTAAAGCAGCCTTGGAGACAGAAATGGAAGCATGGGGGCTGCCTTCACGTCCTTTGCAAAAGTATTGTTCGAAGCAGCTCACATTTCTGTGTCGGTGACAGCAGGGCGGGTGGGTGAGACTACTCTTCCTCCCGCCCACAATACCACTGATGCCACAACCTGCCTGCTCAAATAAAAAGAATGAGTTGCTTCAAACAGAGTGTTTGCAAAAGGCTTTGATCCCTGATCATCAATGATGTCCACAGACCAGAGGTTCCCCACTCCTGGTTTACATGATCACTTTTCTTGGGGTGGAAGAGATTTTTTTAAACCTCCCTACCTTGCCAGGTCTTGTGGCCTTCTTAAATTAGTTTAAAATTTTGAATTTAGCCCTTGAACAAGTATTTTACAAACAGAGGTTTAAAGCAGCTCAGGGGCTGCTACCTCAAGATAACCAGAGTGTGGAAAACAAGCTGTCTACCTGAATCTTACTGTTGTTGCTAAAGACGGTTTTCAATAGACTGTGCAATGCTTAATACAGTGGTACCTTGGTTCTCAAATACCTTGCTACTCAAACAACTAGGAACCTAAACACTGCAAACCTGGAAGTAAGTGTTCCAGTTTGCAAACTTTTTTTGGAAGCTGAATGTGCTCTGTTTTGAGTGTTACACTTCCGATTTGAGTACCACACTTCCATTTTGAGTGTTAGGCTGAGGTCTGTCTGTTCTTGCTATTTATTTTGTGTTTTTGCAACTCTCTTTGTATTTGTGACTCTGTGGAACCCAGTTCAGCTATTGATTGATTGATTGTGACTGCAGTTTATTGCTTTCACTTTAAGGATCCATGGTCTCGTTAGATAGTAAAATTTACCGGTATTTTAAATTGTTGTTTTAAGGGTTGTTTTTAAAAGTCTGGAACAGATTAATCCATTTTGCATTACTTTCTATGGGAAAGCGTGCCTTGGTTTTGGAACGCTTTGGTTTTGGAACGAACTTTCAGAACGAATTAAGTTTGAGAACCAAGGTACCACTGTACAAACACTTCCAAGAGTTTGAAACTCAGCCCAAGCAAAACTGGCTTGAATCTACATCTTATGTCTCAAAAGTTAGCTTACATGGGCTTCCTCCCCCACCCAGTGGTAGATAAGGCAAACACAACCATAGATGGGGGTATTGCATTACATAATCAGGGCTTATATCATGTCCCTTGTCAATGATTATGTGTTTTCATCACAGAGCAAGTTAAATGTAAGAGTTTTGCAGCAATGTAGAGAGACATTACAATCCACCTACTGAGACAATTTTGAAATGTGTATGTTTTACAGGTATTTGAGAAAGCAGGCTACATGGCTACCGACGATGATTATTTTGCTGAATACCCCAACACCACATTTCAGAACGATGAAAGCGCACACAAGACATTTACAGCGTTTAGCAGTGTCTTCCTGGTCTGCATGTATTCATTTGCCTGTATCTTTGGAGTCTCAGGGAACACTTTGGTTCTCATCATTTTCATCTTCTATGAAAAAGTAAAGGTGCTGACGGATGTATTTCTGGTGAGCTTGGCTGTAGCTGACTTGTGCTTTCTTTGCACGTTGCCATTCTGGGCTTATTCTGCTGCTAGGGAGTGGATCTTTTACACTTTGCCGTGTCAAATCATCCGAGGCCTCTACACCTTGAATCTGTACGGTTCCATGCTAACCCTCACCTGCTTAACCATTGACAGGTATTTTGCTATCGTCCAAGCCACCAAAGCACACATCAGCCAAGCCAAAAGAATCGTCTGGGGTAAGACGGTTTGCATTTTGGTTTGGGTGCTTTCTCTGCTATTTGCTTTGCCACAATTTTTATTTAGCACACAAAAGGAGTATAGCAAAAAGGTATGCATTGCGGAATACCCTTCAAATTCTTTGCAGATGCTCACCGAAGCAATTCAAATGACTCTTGGATACTTCTGCCCTATGCTGGTCATGGTTCTTTGCTACTCAATCATCACAAAAACTTTACTCTACGCGAAGGGCTTCCGCAAGCAGAAATCCTTAAAAATAATATTTTCCATTGTTGTGGTGTTCATTTTTACACAGACGCCCTATAACATCTTGAAACTCGTTCGTGCTGCGGACCAGAGCATCATGATGGACAATGGGTTCCGGTTTGAATATGCTTTGATCGTAACGGAAGCCATTGCTTATTTCCACAGTTGCCTCAACCCTGTTCTCTATTTCTTTATCGGTTTGAAGTTTAGGAGGAACCTGGTAAAAATCCTTAAAAAGCTTGGATGTGCTAAACATGAACAAACCAGGAAGCCATTCCAAACTATGGATGATGATTGCTCAAAATCCTGCACTGCCACACAGAACGCAGAGGAAACAAGCATGTATCCATTGTAAGAGGATTTTGAAGAGCATTCTTTTGTGGAGCTTCAGTTTTAGTCGCCCTGGGCATTCGCGCGAGCAAAAGCAACAGGCAGAATCTCCTCAACATAGCTATCCTGTTTGTAAAGTTGGTGAAAGCTTCCCTACAAGCAAACTTTGCAGAATCTCATTGCCACCCTGATTCTTATGCTAGAGGCATCTTACGAGAAAAGACTCAATTGCGTTACATTTCATACAATCCTTAAAAATGTTCAAACATACCTACACTCAATCCCACAGATAATGTATGTTTGTATGCTTGTATATTCACAATATGTGTGTATTAATGCTGAATTATTTTAATAATAAAAACTTCGAAAAAAGACTCAATTGCGTTAAGGTATACAGCAGCTATGGAAGAGATGATGAATGGGAATTTAGGCTGTCACTTAGCGTTTGCCGTTATTTTAAGGAAGTGCCAGTGGGAAGCTGCAGCCTCTGCTTCCCAGGAAGAACATACTGGCAAGGAGATGGCCATCTTGTTCCTGGTAAAGGGTTCATTTACTCTGCCCTCTCTGTGTCTCCCCCCCCCCTTTTGCATCCTGCTTATTAGATTGTGAGCCAGTGGGCCGGGACTATCTTTTAACCCCTGTACAGCGCTTAGAAAACATTGGGTACTTTATGAACGTTAAATCATGATAGTTTGCAATTCAAAGCTGGTCATGAAAGCACAGTTTGAAAAAGCATGAATGGCGGACACACTTTTCATGTGGTTGGCATGCAAGAACTTGCAAACCATGTTTTTACTTGCTTTGGTTCACCATATGAATTTTTTTTATATAAATAAATAAATATAGATGTTCACGGAGAACAAAAAACATACACGGTGTTTGTGTCTCTTGTCTTTTCTTGTGTCAAGGAGTTCCATAGCTCAGCTTTCTCAAACTAAGAACAAACATTTGCTCTGGAGGCACTGCGACATAACCCCCTCTCCCCCAATTTTAGGCACAGCTTGCTCATCCAGAGGCTTTAAGTGTAGAAGGCTGTTTATACTGTATTTCCCCTTTCCCACTCCCCACAGAATTCCCCTTCCACAATTCACTTGTACCTTACCCCACCCTCCTCTCCAACTAACTTCTTTCAACCTTCCTCCCAGGTCCTTTTCCATTCACCTCTTCCTCCTAAAATAGCTTTTCTCTCTAATCCCCTTCCTTTCTATGCCCAGTTAATCATCGCCACCTCAGAATATTAGGCTAAAATCTCTCTTCCTAATCTCCTTCAGACCTTCTCTGGCCTTTTCCCCTCAGAGCAGAGAGGCCTTCTACCCTCCCACAAACTCCTCTGTTTCCGGGGCACCTTGATGAAGCCTAGGAGGAGTTGCTAGGGTTGGCATCAGTCTAACCAAAAGGCTACAGCACAGCTATGGGGCAGGGAAGGACAGCCAACTCATGAGGCAACAAGCAGGAAAGTGGCTTGAGGCCCAGGTCTACTGTTTTGAGAAACAGTGAGTTAAAGGGAGGAAAACTTCCTGTCCCCTTCTTCCCCCCACAGCTCCTTGAACTCCACCAAACACTGGGAGGCATCTCCTAGCCTTCCAGAGGTTGTTTTTTTTCAGGGGCCTCAAGTAGTTGCGGGGAAGGGAAGGTTACCTTCAGTGAACTTAACTTAGAATCCAAGCCATAATACAGTAGACCCACTAATTTTCCCTCCAGCCATCAGTCTGAGATTTACCCTTCTTTTGGTTTCTCTGCCCAGTTTTCCTTTTTTATTTTACTCACAAAACTCTCTCTTTTTTAACTTTATTCCAAAACCGGAAAAGAATTACAAACATCAAATTCAAAATCCAAATTCGTTTTGTAACATAAGCCTATTACATATTTGACTAGATTAAAATATATCTTCCCTTTGCTATATATAGACTTCCCTTTGCTATATATAAATGCAACGCAATTAGAAATTTTTATAAATTCTCCTATACCCCCCACTCCCCTTCACCCATTTGTGATCTCAATGTTTTTTTAAACTTCTTCCATCTTGTTGTGTTGTTGTAGCGTAATAATTATTCACTTGATTTTATTATTTCCTTGCTTACCCCTGCATGTTTTACACATTATCTATTAATGTTCCAGTTCCGGAACCATATTTTTTCATGTATTCCTTCACTCCATCCCACTCTTTAATTATTCTCTGTTTTGAATGGCCTCTAATGATTGCCATCAATTTTGCCATTCCCACAAACTCACAGAGCTTCCTTTGCCATTCTAACAATGATGGTATTTTCTCCCCCTTCCAATTCTTCGCGACCAATATTCTGGCCGCTGCGTAAAGGAATACATTTTTCTTATCTCTGGGGATGTCATTAGATATTAGGCCTAACAGAAAAGCCTCTGGCTTTTTGATAAACGAAATCTTAAATAGTTTTTTCAGTTCCTCATAGACCTCATTCCAATTTTTTTTTTTACAATTTTACATCCCCACCATGTATGATAAAAGGTTGTTTTACACACAAAACTCATTAAGTCAGCAGTTTTGCCACTGGCATCAAAACTTTGATCTTTTGGTGTGAGCAAGCAAAAAAGGGAAGGGAAGTTTGTGTGAGGCAGACACTTTGGGCAGGAAATGTGCGCCGACAAATGAAACGGTGAACCTGAATCCTTGCCACTCTTAACCAGAAGTGTCTGTGGCATTCTCATGCAAGCTTCCTGTCTGACATTGAGCTGGCTGCTTCACAGTGTGGAAACGAACAAACACTGCATCGCTGGGCACTTTGATACAGTTCTGATATGAGCAAGGCGGACAGGAATTACTAACAGTGTTTACAGCTGGGACTATGACTCCCATCGTCCATGACCACTAGCCATGCTGGCCAAGCTGATGGGTCCAACATCTGGAGAGCCACTGGCTCCCCAACCCTGGTTCATAGGATTATGAACCCTGAAGGAATCAATAAGCCATACTAGTTCATACTTCTGTGGGCTATACTTTTAATTTTCCTTATGTAGGGTGAAACTAGACGTTACCTTGGCAGAAGGAATGGGACTGCATTACACATGCCAATTCCTGCCTCCAAATGCCACCCCCCGGCCACCCCTGCAGGCCTCCCCACCCCTTGCTGAGCTCTGGTTTAGTTGATGAGCCTGACTGTGGGGAGGGAAACCTTTAAAACTGGGATTGCTAACCTTGACCGGACCCATGGGCATATTTGCAAACTGGGGACACTGCTGTGGACACCAAAGGCACACTCCTCCTTGCCAGTGGTTAGACTTGAATAAGTGTGTTTTCACTTTCTTCCAAACAAAATTGGCTGGGTGATCTTCCTCAAGAGTGCAGCTGGGGAGGGAAGAGTTAACCTTTCTTCCCCAGCTACACTCTCCCATGGACAACGGAGGGCTCTTTACCAGTGGCACAGAATGGGCAGGGTCACAGGGGCAGTTACTCAGGAGTGCAAACTCTTAGGGGCACAAAATTTTAAAGAAAAAAAATAGTACAGTGGTACCTCAGGTTACATATGCTTCAGGTTACATACGCTTCAGGTTACAGACTCCGCTAACCCAGAAATAGTGCTTCAGGTTAAGAACTTTGCTTCAGGATGAGAACAGAAATCGTGCTCCGGCGGCGCGGCGGCAGCAGGAGGCCCCATTAGCTAAAGTGGTGCTTCAGGTTAAGAACAGACCTCCGGAATGAATTAAGTACTTAACCTGAGGTACCACTGTAGTAGTAATAATAAATAAAAAACAGTGCACCCTCCGCCTCACACAGAAAATCTCCCCATGTTCGCATGGGTAGACTGAGGAGAGGATTTGGGTGATGGCTGATAGCTATGGCGCCCTCTGCATGGGGTGAGCTATTGCCCCTTCATTCCAGCTTATCGGATGAGCGGTGCCAAGGATACTTGCCCTGGGCACCAGAAATCCATGCTGCGCCACTGCCCTTTACAAGCCTAATCTACTTTGGAACAGATCGTGTGTGTGTGTGTGTGCGTGTGTACACATGTGTATAAATTATGTTTACTCACAGATCGGTTATACCATGGTCCAAAGATTCTTCTTCAGTTTGGCTTTCATTGTGAACCGAGTTGTCTTCCTTTATCTGGCCCACTTCCTCGTCGGTGATTATATCAAACACGGCATCATCTGTGGGTTTAGAGGCTTCATTTGTAACTGTACCACAACAAAGGACACAAAACAAGAAAGTGTTATTATGCTGCATATAAAGTAAGGCAACATAACTTCTCAGTGTTCATTATAGACTTATGGGACTTGAAGGGACATCAAACACTGCCATCTGTACCAAAGCAGACACAAGGATAGAATATGATCTGAAGTCCATAGGAGATTCTTTTCCAAAAAAATTGATCCCATTTATACACAGGAAGGACTCACCCATAACTCTATGGACCAGGGACAGTGGTGAGGCTAGCAGGCTTGATGGTGGTTCTTCTTGGCTTGCGTTTGATCCCGAATCAACTGAGATGGCACTTGCCTTTTTAAAGCAAGCCCGGCAACAGCGCTCCTTCTTGCCAGTATGCTCCGACATGGCATAGTTGTTGCAGCAGTAGTAGCAGAAAATGCGCCCACACATTCTAAAAACAATGGAATTTTAAAAGAGAAAAGAGTTCTTCATGTCAAAATGAAGGCATTCAAGGGATACAATATCCAACATGCAGAAAGTGACATTCTTCATAATATTGCCAATCTGGATTCCCTTTGAAGTCAATGGAAGAACACTGGGTTTTATCCAACATTGAGTAAATCCATTGAAATTAACAGACATGACTAATTTAGGCCCATTCATTTTGATGGGTCTACTCTGAGTGTAACGTAATTGGATGCTGAGTTAAATATACACCTGAAAGGCCAACTATATCAACCCATTCTCCAAACCAACAATCCTTTATAAAGTAATTCCTTTATATAACATTGCAGAGAGATTAATGGGGAGCAGACCAGTGATAATTTGGATTGTCATTTTTTTTCCAGATTGAGATGAGGTCGAGTCTGGAAAGATCTCCATATCCACACAAACAATGCTTTTGTCCCACAGTCTTTTCAAGCAGAAACCACAAATGCATTATGAATGCCACTTAAGGTAGAATTTGCTGTAATTCCAAGTGACACTATTTACAACGGCACTATTTAGAAATGTGGTCTGAAAAACTGCAGTATAACATCTTGTTGATTACTTGTCATCCGGCCAAATACAGTTGCTCACAAGTGTTTATCAAGTCACCCCTACAAACTGACCTGCAATGGTGGCGGCGATTCATCCAGCCAAATTCTTTCTTACAGTCTAGGCAACAGCTT